CATGGAGGGCTACTCTCTCAGCCTAGATACACAGGGGAGGGCCTAGGCCCTGCCCCAAATGACTTGACAGATTTTGATGATCCCTCATGGAAGGCCTCACCATTCCTGGGGAGTAGATGGGAGGGGGTCCATAGGGGGCATGGGAGGATGGGAGGAAGAGCGAACTGGGATTGACATGTAAAATAAGATTGTTTCTAATTTAAATAAAATTTATAAAAAATTGTTTGCTTTAGTACTGAAATCTTTCCTGATCAAAATTACTGTTTACATTTTAATAAGGGACATAAATAACAATAGTCAATATTACTCAGTATATTCTTTCTATTTCATTTCCTAGACCCATGGAAAAGGGGTAAAATTATTTCTAGAAGATACACAGGATACACAGATACAATAATTACATTCCAAGCATAATATCTAATCTCCTATTCCTCTGTGACTAATTTTCATTTTGCAAGTTTTCTATATTTAATGTCAGTGTTTAATATTGTTGTTCACTCCGAGTTGTGAAACTCTCTACTTTGGTAGTTTCTAATCCAATAGTCTTTACCTGAAGGTAGAGAAATTACTCCTTGCAAGGAAAGTAGAAAACAGAATGAAGAAGAAGATAGGCAAGAAGAATCCTCTTCCAGCTTAGAAATTCCTTATTTTGAATTTGGCTGGGTTTTTCTTTCTGTTTGTTTTGTTGTTTTGTTTTTTTTCCAGACAGGGTGTCTGTGTAACAGCCCTGGCTGTCCTGGAACTTGCTTTATATACCATGCTGGCCTGCCTCTGCCTCCTGGGTGCTGGTGTGGGCCACCACTGCCAGGGTCTGAATTTCGTTTTAATGTTACACATCATATCAGTGTGTGTGTTGGGGGGCGGTAATCTACAAAATACTGTAGTTAAACTATTTAAAATAGTTAAAGTAAATAGAACACTTCAAATGTCCTGTAGACAGCAGAAGCTTGAAACACAAGAGTTCAGTAATAAAATTACATGGCAATTGTTTGAGGAAACAGTCAACATGTAAAAGGACTTTTTACGTTAAAAGGATTCCTTGGGATGTGGAGTCTTTCCTACATGCCCAACCATTCCAATTACTTGTATTTAGAACTTGCTGTGTGTCTAGGTAATCTTTCCCTTCTCGGTGCTGGCTTTTCCTCTAAGAGACACCAAAGGGGAGTTTTGGGCACAGAAGCAGGTTTTAACTGAAATCTGTAATAAGAAAGGATGAGGGTGTAAAAGAGGAAACGGCACTCAGGAGACTATGACAGTAATCCACGTGAATAATGTCTTGGCTCAGACTGGAAGAGATGGCTAGCTCCAAATATGCTAAGTAAGGAAGAAAGGCTGGTAAGTTTTATTAGTTGTTTGGAAAGGAGCTAAGACATAAAACATTGAAAAAAATTAATCAAGGATGACTGGAGCTTTTGAATTGGAGTCCCTGAAAGAGCAGAGTTGAGTTGCCAGTGAGTGAGCTAGAACAATCTACACATTGAGATATCGACGACTCATTCCAGACGTACACACTTAAATGGGACTCAGCAAGCAAGCAGGTGTTTTAAGAGAATCTAGACTGGAGATCTAACTTGGAATCAACAGTTTTTAGTATCATTATTAAAAATAATGGTGGATAATCTTCACCTTATACGTACTCCAATATTCAGAGTTAGGGGAGATGAGGATTCAGGGGCCTTGGGGAGGGTGGGAATGAAAGAATAAGGGATAAAAAGTCAAACACTTTTTTTTGGACAGTGTCTCAAAAACTAACTTTGTTAAACTCAAGTTACATTGCTTCCACCTTCAAAAATATTTCCCAATGATTTTCATGTATTCTGTTTTTATTATTCAACTCTCTCATGGGCCATTTCTGCTACACCGGGAAACAGTGCTATATAAAATACGTTTAAAACATCTTTTGAAAACCAAATTCATTCCAATGCCACATGTGCTCTTCATGTGTCTTCTACAGCATCTATGGTGAATAATGCAGACAAGTCAACTATAATCCGCTTCCTATCTGCCTTTCTGATTTCTTTCCTCTGTTAATGTTCCTTCTATTAATTTCTACCTATACCAGCATTCATTTTTTCTTAAAGTACAACAGCCTCGGGCTGGAGAGATGTTCAGTAGTTAAGACAATGTACCATTCCTGCAGAGAGTGTAAATTCCAGTCCTAGAACCTATAGCAGTCTCACAGCCACTTTTAACTACAGTTCCAAGGCATCCAACACCTCTGGTCTCGACAGATATCTCTACTCACATGCAAGTTTCCATTCAGAAACACACACATGTACACATAATTAGAAAAAAATTTTTAAGTACATTAGTCTTACTCATTTGTTTGGCATTCTATCTCCTATCTAGAGCCTATACTCTCTTGTGTTTTCACCTATTTGGCTTCTCAATATTGGGGAGTCACAACACAAATATCTCCTTCTAGAGGCCTTGTGTAGGAGGCTTTCTTTTGGGCCACTGATCCAATCATCACATGAACTTATTAGTTATGAATGCTCGGCCTTATCTTATGCTTGTCTGACCAGCTCTTATAACTTAAATTAGCGTGTTTCTTTTCATCTACATTTTCCCTTGGGGCTTTTAACCTTCCTTTCATTCTGTATGTCCTACTCCGTGTCTGGCTGGCTGCCTGACCCTGGACATCTCCCTCTTTCTTCCTCATTCTCTTTTCTCTTCTCTCTGGAGCCTAGATTCTTCCTCCTACTTATTCTCTCTGCCTGCTGGTTCTATCTGTCCCTCTCCTGCCTAGCTACTGTCTGTTCAGCTTTTTATTAGACCAGTCAGGTGACCTTGGTAGACAAGATAAAACAGTAATATATCTTTGCCTAGTTAAATAAATGCAACACACCTTTACAAAGTTAAAGTAATACTCCACAACAGCCTTGCCTTATTATCCGTTGAGACATAAGATGATCTTATTACCTCATTAATTCTAACTTCATAAACTAGTTATCTCAAGACAGTTCTACACGCTTACAAAGTCTTCTTTATACTGCATTAATTCTCCTCCCATGTAATTCCCACCCAATGACCTTTAGAATGATGCTATGTCTAACCATGTTGTATTGGCAGATTTTCACATTTTAGAAAATAATTGTAAAAGAAATCTCTTACAGCTATTTAAATTTATTTCAAAGATTCTCTACTTCGAATTTCTTTGTGGATTTCTAATTTATGAGTTTCCATCACAAAGCATCATACCTTAAATGTGCCATGAATAGCATAATTTCAGTGGCATATGTATCTTTCTTAGCCTATTATACTGGTACTTATTATTCTGGTGGCTGACTAAAAGCATGTTTTGAAGTCCAATACTTTGTCATAGATAACGTCTATGGAACAGTTTTCTATTTTATAGATAAAAAGAAGTTTTCTAAACAGTTGATATTTCACATCCTTTCCCATTAAGTCATTTTTTTTTAACTTTTACAGTATATGCTTGATGTTACTTTAATCTCTGAATTTCAATACAACTTCAGGAGACTAAAGACAATTCCACACTATGCACCATGGATATATCTGATAACTATATGTGTGTGTCAGAAGATTCAGATCATTAATTAAAAAAATCTGTATAAATATGCCAAACATTGAGTCTCACATTATCACATCCTATCAGAGCTTTCTCTGTTCAATATTAAGAAAATGTCTAGAGATAAATGAGCTATTTATATTCCCATTTAGCCTTTTCAAAACTATGAAAGGGATTAAGTGCCTTTCTATACTCAAGGATTAAGAAAATAGTGGTTTATTAAAAATAATAGCTTTTACTTATTTCACTGTATGTATGTGTGTGTCACTGCCTTATCATTATATATAATCATATGTAACTTATTTCAATTTGATTTGATGCTATGGACAATTAGGAGCACTAGGTGAAAATGAAAATATCAGTATTCTCAGTTAAGGTTATATATAATCATGTTCTCAAGTATCTAAAGATTATCATGATATGAATTTCTATACATTTTGCCCTAGGAGCCAAGATCCTTGGAAATAACTGTCAAGAATGAGAAGTCAGCATAATCAACTCAATAATTTTCATATATGCAATAGCTAAGAAAACAAGGCTATATAAAATATGCCAATTCAAAAAGCTCATTATATATTGCTTAAAATCCACATAGAATTTATTCTGTCATTATGTGAGTTTTAATTGAATTATGCATATTCAGAAAAATGATTATATATGTGTATATTTTTATGTGGAAGAGTGTTTGCCTGAATGTATGTATGTGTATCACATACATACCTGGTCCCCACAGGAATGAGAAAAGGGCATCAGATCTCCTGAAACTGGAATTACATATGGTTGTTGCACTGCCACGTGTGTGCTGGGAAAGGAGCCCTGGACTTTTGCAAAAGCAGCATGTGCTCTCAACTGCTGAACCATCTCTCCAGTACCAGAAAAATGTCTATTTTAAACAGGGCATAGACTAAACTCAATGGGAAAGGCATCTTTAATAATGATATTTTTAGGAAGCTAAAAGCCAATCCTAAAAGTCAAAGTACAGTCAAAGCTTTTGTAATGGAAAGTCGTACTGTGGACAGTATAATGGCATGGATGAACTTACTTGTAGGCAACTATACCTTCCCCATTGCCTTCTCAGTGACTATACTCAAATAAATGAGATATGTGGCAGGAGCAACCATTCAAAGTAATTCCTAAATTTTCTTGTATTACTTTCTCTATTTTGATAATATCTATGAGGAAATTATTTTTTATTCTCCTTCTTTTCTTTTTTAGTTATTACTATGTAGTTCAGGTTGGCCTCAAATTCCACATGTAGCCTAGGATAGCATCGAATTTGCCAGACTCTTTCTTGCCTTAGTCTCCCTGCAGGGATTATAGGCAAGAGCCATCGTGCCTTGTTCATATTCCTCAATTTTTAAAATTTCTGTTAGAAAACTAGAATTTTTGCTAAGAGACACATAGCTAATGGAGAAAAATGGCAACTTTGTCCTTTGTTCCATTTCATTATTTTTGCTTCTTAGGAGGGAAGGGAAGATGAAAGACCGACTTCAAGAATTAAAACAGAAAACCAAGGAAATCGAACTCTCTCGGGACAGTCAGGTGTTTGCAGAAGCAGACGACCAAGGTGTGCTTGTCCAGCAAGCTGTTATTTATGAGAGAGAGCCTGTAGCTGAGAGACACCTACATGAGATCCAAAAACTGCAGGAGACTATTAACAGCTTTGCTGATGATGTTCAAAAGTTTGGACAGCAACAGAAGAGCCTGGTGGCTTCCATGAGAAGGTTTAGCCTACTTAAACGAGACTCGACCATTGCAAAGGAGATAAAAATCCAAGCAGAACAGATTCACAGAGCACTGGGTGATTTGGTTAAAGAAGTAAAAAAGTCAGAGGTTGAAAATGGTCCGTCATCAGTGGTCACAAGGATACTGAAGTCTCAGTATGCCGCAATGTTCCACCACTTTCAGCAAACTATGTTTCTCTACAACGACACAATCGCTTCAAAGCAGGAGAAGTGCAAGACATTCATTGTCCGCCAGCTTGAAGTGGCTGGAAAGGAAGTGTCTGAAGAGGAAGTGAATGACATGCTTCATCATGGGAAATGGGAAGTTTTCAACGAAAGCTTACTCACAGAGACCAGCATCACTAAAGCACAGCTCTCGGAGATTGAACAAAGACACAAAGAGCTTGTGAATCTGGAGACCCAAGTGAAGGACCTCCGGGACCTCTTCATTCAGATCTCTCTTCTGGTAGAGGAGCAAGGAGAAAGCCTCAACAACATTGAGGTAATGGTGACCAGCACAAAAGATTATGTCATCAATACCAAAGAGAAATTTGGACTCGCTGTAAAATACAAAAGAAGAAACCCCTGCAGGGTCCTGTGCTGTTGCTGTCCATGCTGTGGTTCCAAATAAAGAAACTGCTCAGGGTTTAGGGGTGAGGTTTCCACATTGCAGAATCTTGTTTGGGTTGTCTTCATTTCACGAGTCCAGTTACATACATCTTAACACTGCTAACCGGTCACTTTTCCCTTTAACATTTACCCACTAATGTTACAGAAATGCTGAAGCCGGTGACACAAGACAAGCATTTACCTAAGATGTACAGGTTAACTATTAAAAATGACAGTGAAAGACCTTATGTTTCTGGAAAAATATTGAGTTCTCCTGTGCATTTCTGTATTCTTGTGATGAATATTCAACTAAGTGATAGTTACTTTATTAATCTGGCTTATTTGAGAATATTTTGGTAATTGAGAGTTGGATAAAACAAGGTCCCAAAAGATGCCACAGTGCACCAAAATGAAGCTAAAAGGCCTATTAAGTCTTTATCCTTGGTTGGTGAGTAAACCTGATGATAACTGGGATCTGGGAAAACTCAATTGCAAACTTGAAGAAGAATCTAACTGGTGACAGTAAAGCATGAGACCTAAGGTGAGGTAAGTCTGTTTTTATGAACTTGGAAACAGACAAGAAACTGAATTACATACAGATCGGAGGGCTTGACAAAGTCAAAGGCAATTATGTTCTTGCACTTGTGACTTCACTTTATGATGAAGTATAAATTAATGAAGAGGCCTAAGCAGTCCTGGACTGTGTGGTGGTCCTTCTGACAGCTTCCAGAGTGCTTGGAAGACAAAGGAATGCACCACTGAGCCCATTCTGCTTTTTCTTTAAATCTTGCCTTTCATTTTATTGCTTGTCTTTGCACACTGTGCTCCATCTGTACTGTCCTTTTCTGTAATGGAGCAGGTCATTCTGGAGTCTTTTCTCTTTGTTATGCCTGAAATAAACCTGCCCTTATTATCACCTATTCTGTTCACTTGAATGTTGCCACTGGTGGGTGGGTGGGCCATAGGCACCACAAAGATATTTTGTCTCCCTACTTGAGAATATATTTTCTTTCTTATTGGTAAAATATTACAATTTCCTACATATGAAAGCAACATCTTTGTGGTTTTTTTGGTTTGTTTGTTTGTTTTTGCTTCTATTGCTATTAGCGGGCAATGTTTCTGGCCAGTAAATATTTGCCACTGTTGTTCTGGAAAAAACAAATAATTGCCTTTGAGAAAGTCCTTCCTTGAGTACTCACCCTAGCAAAGCCATCCTGATGACCTGTGGCATCTCATCACCCTTACTGTAAGTGTCTGCTGGAATTAACACCATCTTTTTAATTTTTTGAGACAGGGTTTCTCTCTGTGTAGCTTTGTGAACCAGGGTGGACTCAAACTCACAGAGATCTGCCTGCCTCTGTCTTCTGAGTTCTTGGATTAAAGGTGTGCACCACCACTGCCCGGTTAGTTAACACCATCTTATAAATCTGTTTTACTTGCTTCTGTGTTAGCAGGTGAATTAACAATTGATTTCTTGTGAATCCAACCAAAATCCAGTCTGTAAGAGTGCTTTTTCCTACCACCAAATTCACTCAGTTATCCCATTTCATTTGTACACCCAGTCTCCTCTCCTCCTTATAGTATGGAAGGCTGCATTTCTGCTCCAACGGAGTTTTCCTTCTCTCTGCAATAAGAAGTGAGCTCCTCCTCTGGGTCACTGTCACTGTGCTCTGTGTTCCCTGTATTCGGTGTCCTAAAGTCCCTTCACTTCCCATCTCTGTGGGACTGACTTCTCACTCTAGGGCTCCACCTGTTTAAACTCTTGGTCAGAGTGGTGGTGGACAAAGGGGAGAGAATTTGTGTGTCTCGATTTCTATTTCCTTAAAGAACTCTAAGACAAAGTTATCAGTTGGGAAGAGCAGAGTTAAGGGAGCAAGAGGATGAATGAAACAATCAGGCCAGGGGGAAGGACTGAAACATCTTGAAAAATGGCAAGAGAATAATCAGGTGGCATTCTGGGCCCATCTGAAATGTACTGGGATAACTTTTGGTCTCAGCCAGTACACTTGTATTTTTAACCTAGCAATGCTCAGCAGCTTGGATGTTGGGAGAGAATGTGAGCATCTCTGTCTGCTCCGGGTGGTGGCTCTCCCACACCTGTGCAATGCACGAAATGTGTGTTGAGGGAGCTGGGGAACTTGAAAAGGTTAAACTGCCATGTTACATCATGCTTTAAGTACTATGAAGCAATTTTAGTTTAGAAATGGAAATTGAATTGCTTTCTACTGTGTCTGGTACCAAGCATCACTGTGGAAAAGATGTTTCATGTGTCCCAGCTTAAAATGCATAGAGAAGCTTTATAGAAAGGATTTCCTTTAAGACCATTGATAAACTCAACAGCTGACCAGATAACTGCAGCTAGTACCACCACCAGCTAGTACCTCCACTGTTCCTTTTAAATTTTTATTTAGAGATTTACGGATACTTGGTTATAGCTGTTCTTAAATAATTAATCATGAAAACTAAGACTATTAAGTGCTATTTAATATGCATTAGTTCAATTATGCCCAGATGGATTTGTAAAAAGTTCTTTTTGTTAGTATTCTATCATGTTTATAGAGTAAGAATTAAGCACAGATGTATTGCAAAGCAGTGAATAATATTCTATTTCATTGCTACATTTTCTTTTTGTCACATTAATATGAATTATACATACTAATGGGTTCAACAATGACATTTCCATGTGTGCATTATTGTGGCTATCTACCTTCTCGTGTCTCTCATACCCTTGTCTGGTAGTTGCTTTCTATTCTCAGGTTGCCTCCCCACCAGTGCCCTTAGATTCTAAATTCTACATAAAAGAGAAAAAACAATGCCACATTTGTCTTTTTGTCTCTGGATAATTTCACTTAAGCTGGTGACATCTACTTGCTTCCATTTTCTTATGAATTACTTGATTTTGTTCTCCTATGTGGCTTCTCTGTTGATGTGCACCTAGGTTCATGCCATAACATGGCTATGATGATAAATGATATCTTATGTCTATGTCTTCAATTGCTTAGTATTATCCTAACCTAAACAAGTACAACATATTTAATCAGTTGTTCAATATTCTGATATTTTATTTCCACATTTAATAAAAAGTAAAAGCAGCAATTGTTTTTCTTACTACAATATCTAGAAGATAAAACTAATTCTTGAAAGAGTAGATGGAACATTAGGATCTGCTGGCTCTGGAAACAGAAGACAAAATTAATTAAAAATTTAAAAAAATGATTAAAGACTTTTGGGTGCAAGTTAACATCACTAAATTGGATTAAATGGTTTGAATTCATGTACGACTTTGAAGCACTATATCATCAGCAATAATATTCAAATCCATTTGCAGAACAGTAGGAACACTCTGCATGCAAGCTTTCATTATCTGATTCACATGTTGGCACAGGCATCCAAATCTCCATTTATACGCAGAGCCTTGGAGGCTCAGAAGGAATCAGTAACTTTCTGGACTTCGTGGTGGTTGCATACCTGTAATCCCTATCTTGGGCTGGCAGGTTGCTGGGACCTCCAAGTTAGCGTGGGCTACAGTATGAGACCTTGCCTCGTGGAAACAAAGGAAGGAAGAAAAGGGGAAACAAAGGAGGGGAAAAGAAGAGGAGGAAAGGAAAGGGCGCTTCCCGAGACCTGACTGATTCCAAAGGTCTCACCCTCAAAATATTGGAGGTCTGGGATGAAAGCAGTGAAGCAGGAGGTCCATGGCAACATGTTGATATCTACCTAGCAACACTGTCAGCCATTTGGTTTTTGTTAATTTTAAAGTGTGGTAGCGAAAAAAGAGTGCAGCTTATGGTTGAAGAAGGCTGGAGTGCAAGTCCACAGTGTAAGGAAATGAAGAGGGCAGCGTCAGGAGGCTACCCAGCAGCGAGGCTTATGACAATGGGCCCTGGAACTTCAGTGAGCAGTGGACTCAGAGGGTGAAGCTAGTCAAGGACTCACACCTGTGTTTAAGAAATCCTGGTTATGTGACCCCAGATGTCCAGCACAGTAAGGACATTTCACTGTATGATAAGACATGCCACTATTCCAATAGCTAAACTGGACTAACACAAGTCCAGTTATTACCCTGAGAAGAAATTGTAGTTGGTGGCTTCAGAGATATTCTGGATGCAAGAATTAGACAACTCAACTGGACTCCAGAAAGGTGATGGGCAGAGTGATATATCAGCCCTCTAAAGACGACTGTCAAGACAACACAAGAGAGAGGAGGTATACAGATGGCGCCCGTCTTCTTGGGGCATTGCTATCAACTGGGGCTGATGGAAAGTCAGGGAATAAAACTTCCAGTTCAGTTTACTTCATAGGAAATCAAACAATGCCTTGTACATTAATTCAAATTGTAGCAGTTACTTGGTATTTTTTGAATTAATATACACATAGATTCAAATATGCACAAGAGAAAAAAGAAGAAAAACAAATGGCTATTTGTTAAAAAGGCATGAACTACTGCATTGATGATTAACGGTGATTAATATTCTAATTTTACTTCAGAAACCAGCCAGTCGCTGCTTAAATATTTTCAAAGACAACTTTAGCCTGTAGGGCTTCCCAAAGGTCACCTTTCATATAGACTTCTATTAATATTTTACTTCGGATTCAATAAAAGTAGGACTCAATTCTATAGATGTAGTAACTTCTTTAATCAAACACTTAAAAGTTTAAAAGTATAAGCTTTGCCAGTAAATGATCCAATAAAATTTCAACTTTTATAATCCTAGCTTCAAGTAGTCTTGTTTAAAAATCTTCATCTGCTATTAAGAAGCACAGGGAAAAGCTCCTCTTACATTTTTCTTTATCTAGCCATGATGGGTTGATTTTTTTTTTTATATATATACCTTAATAATGAATCACAAGAATGAGGGCAAAGTGAAAAACAGGCAAGGGCAAATACTCAGCTTCCTGCTGGGGGTTGAGGAGCAATCTGAACTAAAGGACTTTCGCTTTGCCTTGTCTCACGTTACAGCGCCATCTAGTGTTTACTGTGCACAAATGCCATGAATACAAATGTCCTCAATGTCTTCTACACATGTTCCTGAGGACAAATGCTATATGCACATTACTGAGACAATAAAGCTAGATCCCATGAGCAATAGCAAAATATGAAAGCTCAGGGTGAGAAATTAAAGTGTAATTAGAGAAGGAACCATTTAAATAACTTTCAAAAAATAACTACTGGAAACAGAACAGTAGTGGGGGAGGTGGCTCAGTTGGGAGAGTGCCTAGCTTACACAAGGCTGTGGGTCTGTTGATCAATGTAGTTCACACCTGTAATTCCAGTGCTTGGAAGGTAAAGATGATGGATCTGAAATGAGTTATGTTGTGCCTCACCCCCAACCCCCCAAAGGTTTTCTCCCTGTAACAGCTTTGGCTGTCCTGGAATTTGTTCTGTAGACCAGGCTGGCCTTGAACTCAGAGAGATCTACCTGCCTCTGCCTCCTGAGTGCTGGGATTAAAGGCTGATGGATCTGAAATTTATGGTCATCCTTGGCTACACATCAACCTCAAGACCAGTCTGAGCTATGCAAGAACATGTCTTAAAGAAAACAAAACCCAGGAAGAAGCAAAAATAAATAAATAAATAAATAAATAAATAAAATAAAATAAAATAAAGGACAATGACAAAACATAAATTACTAAGAAAGGAAGCTAGGTGTGATTGCACAACTCACAATGCTGAGGCAGGAGGATCAAGAATTCAAGTTCAACCAAGCCTACATGGCAAAATCTTGTTCTGAAAAAGGGCTGATGGGGCTGAAAATGCTCAGAGCCTTTGCCTAGCATGCCTAAAGGGGCAGGGGCAGGGGCAGGAGGGGATGAAAGCTTTCCTAAAACCTGTTCAAAATGCAAAATTTAATACAAAGCAGACCATCATATAAAACAAGAGTTCATATTTGATTCCTAAGGAATCCATCAGCAAGTTCAATCATAACACAAACTAAATTCTTCAATCCCTACCCAAGGCACTATAGCATTATAACTGAGAGGTAAGTATACACATTTATTATACTACTAGATGAACACCTTGGTTATTTAATATTCTGTAAGAGACAAACATCTCTTGCTAATGCTCCATTACTTACACCAGTATAGGCTTTCCTGATATCCTAGGATGTCTTAGCACTTCTGACATTGTCTCTTTTGTTTCTTCCATTCTCTCTTCATCGCTGGAATCCACAACAAATATTACCCCATAGGACTCAGCATAATAATTCTTCCAAATTCCCCGAATTCTTTTTCCACCTCCCAAGTCAAAGATGGTGACTTCAAACTTTCCTTGTCTAAGGTCAATTTTAGAAAATCCAACAGTGGGAGCTACGTCTTCAGGATGCTCTGTTTCAAATGACACAAAAAAGGGGAATCTTTAGACTTTAATAACATTAATGTAGCTCTACAACATAAATTATACAAAAATCATCATGCATATGTCACTAGGAAATGGAAAAGCCATTAGCTCATACAATAGACACTATCTCCAAATATACTTGTATGAAAGATAGGCTAATAATGTAAGTATCCAAACTTGTATTTTTACTATACACGTACAGGAATTTGTTTTTGGTTTGTATTGTTTTTCAAGACAGGGTTTCTCTGTATAGCACTGGCTGTTCTAGAACTTGCTCTGTAGACCAGGCGGGCCTTGAATTAAGATAACCGCCTGCCTCCTGAGTGCTGAGATTTAGGGCATTCATGTGCCATCTCCACCTGGCTGTTTGTTTTACCATAATCTTAGCAATTAACATGAAATTGGGACTTAATAATAATTATATGCTGAATGAGTTCTTGTGCTAAGGTTAATTTCTTTTTCACTCAGTTTTAACCTTTGAATACCACATCATTCCAGGACTCTTTTACAAATTCTGTGGAAGAATAAAGTCAGGAATATTAAAAAAAAATTAAGAAACAATCTGAAGAATCAAAATGAAAGAGAATAGGAAATTCTTTATCAATCATAAATCAAATTCAGAACTTCTATAGGAAAATGTTTGGTATATGTTCCAATAAATTTATAATTGGTGGGCTTTCGAATGAGAAGAGGAGTTTTATATCTGAAATCACCAAGTATAAGGGGCACATTACCATACCTGCCAAGGAGAACAGTGATCATGAGAGGTTAACAAGATTCCTGAAGAGACATAGAAGCCTCACTCTAGGAGATGGAGTTAGGCTAAGGGTGAGAAATCAAGCAAGTAGCACGGGACTAAAAATTCACTGGATCAAATCCTCAACAGGTTTTATTTGGTTTGGTTTTGCTTTTGAGACAAGGTCGCTTCTGTAGCCTAGGCTGGGCTCCAACTTGTGCTTCTCCTGCTTCTGCATCCCAGTGCCTGTATGACAAGTATGCGCTGGCAAATCTGTCAGTGAATATGGGTGGAAGCCACCCTGAAAGGAGGGCACTGAAAACAGGAAATGGGGAGCTGCTGAGGGTCCCTGAAATATCAGTTATGTAGTGCAGTGAATAAAGTAGCACTCTAGTGACTGAAAATGAGTGACAGGCCACTTCTCAGACAGCTAAAAAAAATTCAAACAAAAGATGGAGGAGAAAGCTTATTAAACATTAATAGACCTTACAGATTCAGTGGGTAAGAAAAAGCTTTGGTGTCAAGCCTGCCTCTCCCATTCTCTCCTTATCATTAGAATATACTATAAATCTTTCTCCTCTGGAATTTGTTTAGAGCTCTATAGTTCAAGAGTAGAAAGATAGATACCACCAAAGGCTTTTAATTTTTTATGTGATATTAAATGGATTAAAAGTCAATCCCTCAGTTGTACGAGCTGTATCTCCAGTTCTCAGACACAAAATGTAGTCAGTGCTCTACCCTACTGCATGGACTCAGTCTAAGCTATTCCCATCATTCAGGAATTTCTACTACATGACAACGGCGGTTTATAGTTACATTTAACAAAACATTCACTGTGACAAATCTGCAAGGAGTGAGTGTTTTAGGATTAATTGTAGCTGAGAAACAGGCTTGCAAGGTGCCACACTCCCTCTCGGGAAGTATCAAGAACAGCTTCTGCACTGCCCGAGACACTTGGCAGAGCCATCACGAGTCATGTTTCTGCTGCTAACTCCTTCATTACTACAAGACAAATGGGTAAGGCTAGACCTAATCAAAGTAGCCTGGCTTTCAGAAACAGGATCACACAGGAGCTTAAACAGGGAGCTAGGAGAATATATGTATGTATGTATGTATGTATGTATGTATGTATGTATGTATGTTTGGGAACATTAATGTTTACAAAAGACATTGATTCCCAACCTCAGAGGCGGCGACTTAGAGGAGGGTCTAGACTGATAAGTGGTGGTCTCTTAAATACTTAATAACTTATTTGGAAGTAGAGGGAGAAGGCTAACGTGTAGTATAAGCCTATTCTCCTTGTGTAACAACTCCCACTCTGACTAATTGCAAACTAATTGTAGTTTCTATAAGATCCCCAAGAAGAGATTTCAGGAAGAACAGACAGCACTGGCTCTTGCTAGGAAGTTTGACTCAATAAACAGAAACAGAAGCAGTAGTGGGGTCCAGAAGACCACTGCTTCTTGTCAATGGCACATGAACTACAGTGATGCATCTGTTTCTGGTCCATGGTCCTAGAGTAGAGCAGCATGTCCTCCTCTTCTCTCTCACCACTTCCTTGCAGCTCAAATGCATGCTGCAGAGGGTTATCTTAGGATATATAGGAGAAAGAAACAGTAGGGACGGCACAGTGAACAGGAAAAGGGGTAAACCCCTAACATTAGGATGACATCCTAGTACTCGACTACTTTTGCAAAGCCAGAGGGAAATAAACTTCAATCCTGATGAAACACCGTGACTTCAGATCCCTGTTAGACCTATGCCCAATTAACACAATCACTCTGATGGTCAGGGAGAGGAACAGTGCAGTGAGAACACCAATGTTCATGACAGGGAAGATACTTTTAGAAGCTTTTATGACATGACAGATGAAAGACACTGGCGTGTGAATTTGAGCAACAGCAATATAGTTAAAGAGAAGGTACATATATCTCAAAACAAACAAACAAAAACCTAGCAGAGGGGGATGAGCCAAGAGTAAGAGCAGAACAGGAAACAAGTAGACAAGAAGATGCCATAGAAAGAATGGGGGGTGGGGGGGGGGGGGGGGGGGGGGGGGGGTGCCTTTAATCCCAGGACTTGGGAGGAATGCTACACAGAGAAACCCTGACATGAACAAACAAGAGGAGGAGGAACAGAATGAAGAGGAGGAAGAAGGCTGTCTATTATTCCCAAGAAACTTGCCTTAAATTACTGGGACACCAAAATGAGTAAAAGTGCCCTCAGACAGCTAAACAGACAAACGAGAATGCAATTGAGTCTATTAATACTCCTCAGGATGGTCACAATTGGGAACAAAGTGTATGAAACAGGAGACTTCATGACAAAGATGAGTATTTGTGTAATCCTCGAAACTGAGAGACTAGGGCAGAGGACTACTAGTTCAAGGCTAGCTTGGGTTACTCCCTGTCTCCCCCACTGACCAGTGATGTCAAGATGTCAAAGAGATTACACCTATTCAAATCTGAAACATGGCAGTAGGGGACATGAGGAAGCCAAAGCCTAGTCATAGCATAAGTACATTAACAACATAAAGGAGTATACTATCTCTGTCCAATTAACAGGTAATGAAACAACATAAACAAATGACTTTGAAAAATTAACAGGGGCTGGAGAGATGGCTCAGTGGTTAAGAGCACTGGCTGTTCTTCCAGAGGTCCTGAGTTCAGTTCCCAGCAACCACATGGTGGCTCACAGTCATCTATAGTGGGATCTGATGCCCTCTTCTGGTTATAAAGTTGTACATACAGATAGCACATTCATATGTATGAAAACAAAATAAATAAATCTTTTTAAAAAGTCAACAGTTCAGAAAGCAAATATTTTCTACTTACCTCCTTGGATTCCCTTTGCTGTGGCTGTTTTACCAGCGTTATCAAGGCCCACCATCACAAGGGTCACTTTTCTTAAAATAATAAAAATTTTAAGTTACTCAGTATGTAGGAAAGGATACAAGCAAATTTATCCATTCAAGCAAAATCTATTATATACCAGACAATCTTCTAGATGTTAGGAACTATGCTAATGGATAAAATACTGGCTCAAAAACAGAATTTATAAATATACCATGATATTATCATCCTATTGTACTCAAAGCAAAAATTATAGAACATATACCTAAGCAATAAGGAGAAAAGAATGAAAGGGAGCTAAACAGATGGTGCCTAACCCTAAGTTACTGATCATTATTTTATTTAGGACTCAACCATCTAATTAGTTGAACCAGGAAATTACAGCAGATTTATCTGTTTTACAAAGCACATACAGAATTCTTGCTAGGTGTTAGGCTCATCTCTGCATTTTGATATGCAGCAACATACCAAATAAAAATATCAACTACCACATAATAACATGATTGCTAGCTGAACTAGCAACATATTTAGAAAGAAGCTTTCTATTGTTACAAAGCATACAATATTTGTTACTCCATTGAGTAATAACAAAAGTCTAGTTGAGCTTTACAGATGAAGAAATACATGAATTTAAGTCATTTGTCAAAGGTCACACAATGAATCAGTTAGCAAGCCATAACGTGTACCTAACACTAATTTCTAGAACTTCATAAACTGGGGGAAGGCATATACTGGTCCTACTAACCTAGTAGGACCCTAGTAAAGTACCCTAGTAAAGCTCATCCCTGGCCAGAGTGATCTCTGCACAATGTAAAGGATGGAAAAGCCAGGCATCGTTGTGGGTCTAGGAATGGAACTATTTGGGGAACACAGAGAGAAAGAACTCCAGCATAGCCTGGCTGCCATGCACACACCATAGAACCTGAGTGAGATGGATGAGAACTCTGGAGGTCAAGAGACAGAGATTAAGCATTAAGTATTGTTAAATGCCACAGAACACAAATGCTGCTGGCAATGTTAGTTTTGAGTTTTAACTCTTTATGTATACATATATACATGCTTCAAACTACCTGCGCTGGCCTTGGAAGACCTTCCAGGCTAGACAAGCTTCAGTGTACGTTAGATGACCCTGAAGCTATCTTCCAAAACCATGGGGGTGCAGGTGGCACCTCTGCAAGAAGCCAGTGACTGTTGCAATGTGGCACGGGTGACAGTTCCTTCTACAAGCTCTGTGCTAGGCTGTGCTGTGACTGGTGTAAATACAACCCTTCAATCGCATTCCACACCCATGCCGCATCCCGTGTCTCGCTCTATAATCAGACTATGTGGCTTTCTGTTGGGAAAGCCCAATCCAAAACGTCTGTCAACTGGTGTTTTCTTCTATCAGTACAGTTACAGCAGGCTACTTATGACTCGTAAAGAAACCAGCAGGGATGCCAGCAGCACCACCTCTGCAGCACTGGCAGCAACAGCAGTGCCCATCAAGAGTGGTACAGGCAGAGGATGGTGGAGACAAAGATGGGGGCTGTGGGCCCTCGTTTCTAGAAGACTTTCAGGAATCTGCCAAGGACTACTAAGAGTTGAAGTTACCAATGCTCAAAAGCTACAACACCAACCACTGTATAGGCCAAAGTTCTCAACACTGGAAGTCATGGTAGGGCCACCAGATAGGAGGTGTGAGTCCTGGGACACAGTTTGGGAGCTCTAAGTAGCAGGCACTGGTAGCTACTACTGCCACCTGCTGGCCAGAACTAAGGATTGCACTAAGTGCAATTGTTGCTAAGGCACCTGCTCAGGGCAATAACCTCAATCTCAGCACGTGGGCCTGTTAGTACCTGGCCTCGGGAGACTGAAGTCCTAATCTCCTAGTTCTCAGGACTTGGAGCTATAAGCCTTTGAATCCATCGACCCAGCTCACATGCATTTCACACTCAGAGGCCCAGGTACTCCAAAAAGGCCAAGGGAAATGCAGGCATCACTCGTATTAGTAATATTCATTTCTCACTGACAATGATCCTGAAGAATGTTTTAAAACAGAATTAAGATGGCAGTCAGGGGTGTTCTTTAAACTCTAGGCATGGCTCTCTGGGATCTGCACTTTTATTTTTTCCCCTTTCTCAAATTTCAAATGTATTCAGAGACCATAAAATAAGATAAAATAAAATAAGGAAAGGACAGAGGCAAATATGTCAGACATTTCAGAAACAGGAAGAAAAATCCAGTCTCCCAAAAGTCAAGCTAGTCAATTATCAAATAATCAGGGACATGATTCTATACATTAGTCATCAGTGTTGAGGTATTTAAGATAAACCTACTCATCAGCTATCACCATAACAAAACACAAACACACTGAATTAAAGTCTTCCTTTTTATGCTTACATTTTATGGCAAAAAAGAAAATAATAACAAGAACTGAATAGGTATAAATTATGCAGTATGTTAGAACATTGCTAAGCACTATGGGGGAAAAGGAATAAAATACACAAAGATAAAGGGAACTGAGATTGGACACAGAGCAGTTTCACATAGAGTGTTCAGGGCAGGCCTCATGCAGAAGGAAAGACACAAGGAAGGCCTTGCTAAGCTTCCTGACTCATCCTGGCAAGAGACCACAGGTGGCAGTGTAAGGACAGTCAGTAAGGAACCCCTGGGAAGACTACAGTGTCAAATTACCCCGAGAAAGGACCAAAAGGAAAGGACAAGAGCTCAGACACTCATCCAAACTCAGATTCCATAAGGCCTGTGGGCTTCAGCAAGGACTCTGGCTTTTACATGAGTAAAAAGAATTTATTCTGCATGTTAGTTTTCCCTGTTACCCAAGGACCTTGGTCTTTTTTAGTTTTTCAGACTACCATGGCAAATAAATGGAAGTCAAAGTTGCACCTGACTCAGGCAAAGAATAAGAGAGAACCTCAGACCCTGTTCTCCCCAACCAGCACTGAGGAGGCCACTAGGAATGTCAAGGAGACCACAGCGGGTGGTGAAGATGTGGAGATGAGGTCGTATGTAACAGAAGTTCTTTCTGTGCATATAAAATTTATACAAGCATTGTCAACTGTGAATAGTATGAATATACTTCCTAAGAAAGCTGGGAAGCACATGGTATACACACATACCTGCAGCCCCAAACTCACATATAAAATAAGAAAACAAGTCCACATTTTGTGATTTTTTTTCTATTTTATTCTAAATAGCATGGATTCATTGTAAAGAAGCAAATGAACACTGAGGAATCTCAGCCCTCATAAACTAGAGAGCCTAGCAAAGAAGCCGGAAGACGGGAAGATAATTTCAGTAATATGAGGTAATTACTATAAACGGGAAACAGCAGCAGTATCGTGAAGAGAGCCTGCTCTAGAAGTTTGAGGCTGTCTTACAAATGAAGACAGCCGAGCCAGCAGTTTCGAAGAACACTATGGAATTCTGTATAAGCCCCTTGAGGGAAGCACACCCCTCTCCCACAGCTCAGGGTTTGAACACCTGCTCTGGAAACTTGGGGGCCTAACTGGAGGAAGCAAGCTTCTGGGGGAGGGTGTTTGAAGGAAGGTATACTATCCCTGGACACTTCCTAAGAGCGGGTGTACATGCTTGAGTGTATGTGTGTGTATAAGATTTTGCAAATTATTAATTTATCTTCCATGAGTGTTTTGTACCATGTGCATGCCTGGTACTCTTAAAGGCCAGATGAGGTTGCCAGGTCCCTTGGAAGAGGATTGACAGATGGTTATGAGCTGCCACTGGGTTGTGGGACCTGAACCCTAGTCTTCTCTTAAGTGTAACAAGTGTGATTAACTGCTCAACCATGTCACCAGACACCTGATTTTTTTTTTCTTTTCTTCCTGCTACATGGGATGTGAGGGTCTGTCCTTCACCACAAACTCTCACAGCCATTTTACATTCAAATGCTGGGGACCATGAAATTGTACATACATTCTCTGACATCAGAAGCCAAATAAATGTCCCTCTTAAGTCATTTTTGTAAGATGTTTGGCAACAGCTATGAAAAAGTGAATACTAACTTCACTAATATAACTGTTTTCAATAAATGCAATCAAGATAACCCCTACCGGGAAGTCCAGATGTCCATCTCACAAGCAAGTCTAGATTCTGTCAAGTAGATAATTAAACTAACCATCACACCTATGGGGGAGGGGATGCTGGGAATCGAAAATAGGGCTTTTCATATGCTAGGCAAGTACTATCACAGAGCTATATTCATGGTGCTGTATAAGATTCTTTTACTCAGTCTGGCTGGCTCTCTCTCTTTTATTAAGCATTTGATTTCCGTATTCAAATTTCATGTTTTAAGTAATAATGAGCCAAATGAATAAATTGGCAGGGAGATAAAGTCTGTGATTTAAGTTACATTACCTGAAATATATTAAGAGCATAATTAATATTAGCATTCAGAGGATTACAAAAAAAGTAGACAGACATTTAAACTGTCATAGTACCACAGTATGTTAATATTTATGTTTTAGTCATTGTCACTGGAGGAGCATTTTTGGGGCAGAAATCAAATCTAGGCAGCTTTGTACCCTTAATGTCTAATGTTTTTATTGAGCTCTTGTCTGAACAAATGACAGGATGATTAGTGGTGTTGCCTGTGCCGGTTTTGTGGACTCTGTAGACCTAAGAGTACTGTGTGCTGTCTTTTCCTGTCTGAAGGGCTGTGAATTTCATCAGTGATCATGGAGCTAAAAGACAATCTTGCATTTCACTACTGTCATATTGCACCACAGCCAAACTGTCCCTGGTGACAATTTACCATAAAGCTACAGAAGGGCACACTTTTTAATGTGCAAAGTGTTGTGTATCTTTATTACTTTAACAGGTGGCTTAGACTTTGAGTTTTACATAGGTGTTAACTTTTAATCCCAGTTTGTTCTGCAATGATAAATTATCAAACATCACAGTTAATTCATACTGTGATTTTAATTCATACGAACTATTTATTCACCATGCCTTTAATTGCCTCAAATATTTAGACACAGAACCCTCTTTGGTAGTACATGGCATAATCTTAAAAAAATATAAGCATACTCTTTTAAGT